TATGAATTAACATTCCCAAGGATCACTAAATCCTATTTACAGTTTTGAAAATAGTGTAAGGCTTTTATCTTATAAACTAGAGGCCCAGTGCACAGATTTGTGCATGGGGGAGGGGTCCCTCAGCCTCGGGGGATGTGACAGTGCACCAAGTGGCAGCATCCAGGAACAAGTCTGAGCCAGAGCTGGGTACCACGCCACTCTCCCTCTTCCTGGCCCACTGCACCTGCCACCACTGTTCTGTAGCACTGCTTAGGAGTCAGGAGAGGCTCCTGCCACCACAGCTTTGCTCGCCAGTTGAGAGCCCAGCTTCTAGCTGAGCGGTGCTCCTCCTGTGGGAGCCCACAGACCACCAAGGGGCAGCTTCTGTGTTGAGTGTCTTCCCCCTGGTAGTCAGTGCGTGTAACAGCAACTGGTCAACCAGTCATTCTGGTCATTCTGTCGTAACGGTCACTTAGGCTTTTTATATATATACTAGAAGCCCGTTGCACGAAGATTTGCGCAATAGGCCTTCCTTCCCCTGGCTGCCAGCACTGGTTTTCCTCTGGCACCCGGGACCCAGGCCTTTGGTCCGGCTGCAGCAGAGAAGCCAAGCCTCGAGTGGGCATAGTGACACCAATTTGCATGTTTCCTTTTTTATTGTGTAGATATATATATATATATTTTTCTTTATTGATTAAAGTATTACATATTTCTCCTTTTCCCCCCATTGACCTCTCTCAGCCACTCCCACCCCCCAGCATATGGTTGATCTCTTACCCCCTCCCCTCTACCCTCCCTTGCCTTCCCTCTGAGGTTTAATGGTCTGTTCAGTGCTTCTCTGTCTCTGGATCTAGTTTTGTTCATCAGTTTATTTAAAGTTATAAAAAATTTATTTAGCTCTTCAAAATGAAAAGCATGAGCAATATAGTGGCTTTTCTGTCCTGTCTTTAGTTTAGTGAATTGAATTCTTACTGAACAGAATATTATATTATTGAGGCATATTGAATACAATGCTGTAATATTGTAAAACACATTTAAATGAATATTTAATATCAAATGCTGAATATAGTTTATATAATATGAACTATTTTCATTACTATCTATGAATTTTTATATGCTTTTGTATGTTTTTTTCTATAAGCCAGTCATTCTTTTTACTGAATCTAAATTTCAACTTTATAATTATATTCAGCTTCTCCTACTTGCTCATCAAGTGAATATATATGTGCCAGCGGAGGATGTATTTCAGCATCTTTGAAATGTAATGGAGAATATGACTGTGCTGATGGTTCAGATGAGGTACAATCTATCATTTGATTAAAATCTCTGAATTACATGAATTAGATTTAGGAAAGCAAATGTAATAAAAATAGAGGAAAGTGACAGAATCTTGATTCTTATCTGTCTAAAATGCTAGAACAAGTACATTAACTACAGTAATTTCAACAAATACCTGAATTTTAATGTTGTTTATAGACTAAATCCCGTTGTCATTTGCAGAGGTTACATTCATTCAATCAAAATGAAAAAGCCCACTGTGTGGTCAGTCTCCAGTAGTGTCAGCTGCATGCTTCTTTTGCTTGTGACTGCATGTTATCATTAATAAAAACTACAGTGCCCATTTGTATTGGAACAGATGGACTGTGTGACTGAATGTAAGGAAGATCAGTTTCGATGCAGAAATAAAGCCCACTGTGTTCCAATTAGATGGCTGTGCGATGGAGTTCATGACTGTGTGGATGGCAGTGATGAAGAGAACTGTGACAGAGGTAAGGTATCCGTGTGTGTGCGTGTGTGTGTGTGTGTGCGCGCCTGCCATGAGTAGAAACAACAGTTAAGGCGCTGTGCAGAATATATAGTATGCTAGAGGCAGAAGATAAGATCATTAAGTGCTGATGACTCTTTCTAGTTTCATTACATAATAGCCTGCTCTAAATAAGCAAAATCTGGATAATTTTCAGGTAGAGTATAATGTCAGTCTTTGTACAATGACGACAACAAAATTGAAGTCTCTATCAAGTACTTGCCAAGAGCACATCTTTGGACTAGGTGCTGGGTCAGGTATAGAGATACTAGAAGAAAACAGGTAACATAGCAGCGAAAACCATTATTACAAAAGCATTTTCAGAGTACATTTGTCTACCACATTGCTTGCCTTATTCTGAATGAATAAAAATAACATATTGCTACATTACTATATTACACATACTAATATGCTAGATCAGTGGTTCTCAACCTTCCTAATGCCGTGACCCTTTAATACAGTTCCTCATGTGGTGACCCCCAATTTCATTGTTACAAATTGAACATAATTAAAGCATAGTGATTAATCACAAAAACAATATGTAATTATATTATGTGTTTTCCGATGGTCTTAGGCAACCCCTGTGAAAGGGTCGTTTGACCCCCAAAGGGGTCGTGACCCACAGGTTGAGAACCGCTGTGCTAGATCTATATAGGTTATAGATTGTGCCCAGATTTCCTTCTTGACATGTGGTTGAGAAAATTGCCTACACTTTTTGTCAGTCTGGAAGACAACTTTGAGTTTTGTAGTATATTATTTTCCAGCTATGTGAAGATATTTCCTGACAGCTAACAGCTTTTAGTTGTAAGTCACCACAATAAAATCAGTGATTATTACTACTTTAGAATTAATGAAATGAAAAGAAAGAAATTGTGTGGTGAAGCTTATAATGACCATAAATTACATAAGTCTTGTTATTTTTGTAATGTTAAATATATTATTAAATGATGGCTTTTTTAACTTGCTCACAGAAGTCTCTCAATAAACTTTATTTTTCAGAAATATTTGGAACATCATCAACAGATAATATCAGATATTGATATAGGTTGTAAGGCATTAGAACAGACACTCAGGATTTGTAGAGTATAAATGTATCTAAATGATTTACTCCTATAAATATCTATTCATTTGAGAATAAAAATTCTTCTACTTTCTCTAATATTAGTTCAAACCTTTATGATTTGCTCATATCTGCATCCTAGAACCTGATCAAGAATTATATTCAGCAGAAGAAAGCCTAGCTCTCATTTGGAATCTGCAGTGCATTACAGAGAGCCATAAAGGTTAAACTTCCATAGCAGTTGTTTCTACTTTTGGTTAATTTCTCATCCACTTTCTGTAACTGGTCACTCTAGAGCCAGAAAGCTGTGTGGACAGTCTGACACAATCTTATGTAGTCTTTTATGTGAAGACTTTAGAGAAAAATTTAAGTTATTCATCTTTCTTCCATTTCATAACAGTGTATTTCTTTCTCCCATTGTTTCTTGCCTGGGCTCATGTAATACTACCTAACTGTTCTCCAATACATCCTACTCAGTGCTACCAGGTTCATCTTCTTTACATGTAACTCAGATTATGTCAGTCTTGACTCAGTCTTCTTCCTTTCTGGTTCCATACAAATAACTCAACTGGCAGTCAGATTTCCATAAGAATGATCCCATTTTATATCCCCAGTCTTATATTCTACTAGAAGCCCGTTGCACGAAGATTCGCGCAATAGGCCTTCCTCCTCCTGGCTGCTGGCATCGGTTTTCCTCCGGCACCCGGGACCCAGGCCTTTGGTCCAGACGCAGTGGAGAAGCCAAGCCTCTTCAGTCTTCAGTCTTCAGTCTTCACTAAAAAAAAACCTGCATATGCAAATTAACCCAACAAAGATGGCAGCAGTTAATTTTAGTCGCTCTGATTGGCTGTTGGGCATAGCAGAGTGACACCAATTTGTATGTTTCTCTTTTATTAGTGTAGATTATTTATTTTTACATATAATATATCCTAGCCAAACTGGAAATAGTCAGTATTTCCAAGTGGGAAATATTCTAAACATCCACATACTTTTCAGCATCTTCCCTGATTCTTCTGCTATTTTCACCATCTTAATAACTCTGCCAATAAAAATTATATCTGTCCTTTCAAGTCCATCTCAATTACCACTGTCTTCAACCCAATTACAGTCTTTTTTTTTGGAGTTTCCCCAGCCACTCTTTGATTGCATTCCTATTAATTCATTCTTCCTTCTAATATAATTATTTCTGTATCATTTGAATGCATCCCCTGTTGAAATGTGAGTTTCTTGATGTCAACAATTACATATGCAAACAGAATGAGGAAATACATTTCAAGTCATGATATTATTATGTACAAAATCATAGAGGTGAGGGACAGTTTAGCAGTTTAGGAACCACAAGTAAATGAAGATTTATACTAGAACCTGGATTTAATATTAAACCTAATGAAAAGTTTTCCAAGGCTCTTAAGGAATCTTCTTTTTTTAAAAAAAATATAAAAAGGAGAGGGTGATAATTTTGTACTATATAATAGTGCAGATAATTTACCAAAATATGAATCTAGTTTCATTTCTTATCTACATGAAACTTTCTGTGCTCATTTTTTTCCCATGATATCAAATCCAACCACAGTGAAATGTCCCCAAGAACTGTAGGATTATCTGGAGAGAATGAAGAGGGTACAAGAGTGAGGAGAGCAATCTTATCAGGATTAATCTATTTTTTAAGTATTGGTTTTTATAAAAACTGAACAATGGAACTCAGGTTAGAAAGTCAAATGTTACATAAAAAAATTGAACATTATAGCATTTCACATCTGAGGTATCTCTCATATTTAAAACTATTCTAAACGTTTAAGCTTATTGAATTAAAGAATTGAGAACCTTTAATTCAATCACTTATAAATGTGTCAAAGTTTCCCTCCCTTCCCTATTCATGCCTTTAACTTTTCTTGAGTGTTAGTTGTTGTTTGTTTGTTTGTTTTTCCACTACATAATTAAATTCCAATGAAGTATCTTGGTGGATAAAGCATTTGATCCTGTATGGATGTACCTTCAGGCGTGACAAAGTTCAGATTTCTCGTATTTAATTTACTTCCAGGAAGTGGTTTAGGTTTGGATAAATGTACATCAAGGCATTGAGGAAACAGAACGCCAGAACTAACTCCTCTGCTGCTAAATCCAACTTTCATTCATCTCAAATCTGGACCTATGAGCTGACAGGGGCTAAGTGTTGAGGGCTGGATAAACAGAATATTCTTCAAAGTGAATTAGTTTTACTGGTTTACTTTAGGAAAACTAAAACCCACAATGCTATGGAATTAGAAACAACATCTATATTTTAAAAGGTAAAACATGTTACCTCAAGGAAACTTAGTATTTGCTTTGCCCTGAGCTCCCAAATTTTACTCCTTATAGCAATTTCTGTGGACAAGATTGAGAGTTGTTCTCTTTAGTAATCACCTTAAAATATGTAAGCTACTTATGTAAGTTACAAAATATTATTGTATATTAAAGTTTCTGTCAGCCCAAATTGAGATGAGAATTCTAGATGCTTAGTTTCTGTAGTGACGCACTTGTCCAGATTTTTATGAACCTGCCAAGGGCTCCCTTATATTTAGACATAAGTTGTTAATTAATAAATACTTTCCATTGTCTAATAATCTCCTGTTGAGCTGATCAAGAACATGACTAAGAAACTGATATTATAATTCAGATAATCTCTTTTAAAATACCTGGTACACTTTTTTGTTGTTGTTTCTGTGTGCTTCATGCCAGTTCAAAAAAAGCTTTTAAGTTATATAAGCTTTTAGGATGCCATGGTAGCCACCATGGTGCATTTTTTGAAATGCCAATTATTTATGATACAATAGGAAGCCTTTAGTAAGTTATCACAAAACTTTTGCCTTTCCGTTACAAGTATGATTTTATTTTTATGTCTCTTCTTTTTAATAAAAGAGTGGCACATCCAACATTCCCATGGGGAAAATTATAATGTTATCTAATATACTTTAGTGAACTCATTTTTTCCTTTCAGCAATACTGATGTGCTACAAATAGAGTTTTCTAAAATAATCTGAGGATATTGAGTTCACAATTTTTTTTGAATTTAACTCATTGTACATTGGAACATGCAACGAGATTTAATCACTAGAATCTTATTTTGAAAGAATACAACCCTTTTTTATATTCTATGAATTTTGGTATTGAATTAAGCCAAGAGTCATTTAAATTTTATTTTTTTTTAGAACTGAAGACTGTGCAATTTATCTTTTTTATTGTTGTCAGACAGAATTGGTACATAGTAATTTATTGCATGGGTTTTAGTAATTTAAATTATTTTAGATTAATTTAAATTAATTTTAAATTATTTTAGATTATTTAGATTGAGTTAGGGCATTTTAGAGCTAAAAATTGCAGAGTTTGAAAGAAAGGGGCATCCCAATGCCAGAGGTCTCACATGATAGTAATCACTTTAGTGTCCTCGACCAGGACCTGCCTTTATATGTATCTTAGAGTATGTTAATCGAGTTTGTTAGTCCTTAGAAATGTCAGTGTAAGCTGTACACTTCTGTTGAGATTTTTCCCCAGAAAATATTACAACTGTTCTGATTCATATCACTATACATTCTTGTTCTCAACTTCAACTATCTAAGATTCTAAGATTCTAAGCAATGTACCTATGTTTCTTTAATCATCTCTCTCTACCATTATGCATATCAGATTTCTAATAAGTTGACTTTATTTCTCACCTTATACTTCACAGCAATCATAAATGTTGATCTTCTTTAAACATCTGACCACCAAATTAACAAAGCCACCCATACCTGTGCCCAGCCATTCCTCCTCCCTTCTATTAAAATGGAAGACTTCTCTCCCCTCCAGTCTAAGGATATTCTTTTCATTTTGCTATAAATATTAATTTTTTTCACACTTTCTGAATTTTCAAAGAACTCATAATATCAATTACTCTCTCAAATGTAGCTACTCTAAGTCAAGTTATCATCAGTTATTTTCTGGGTTGCTGAACCCCTCTTCATTTTTTTCCCTCCAATCTTGGCTTTATCCCTCACTATCTTGGTTTCCAAGTTCTCCACACTGTAGCTAGAATTTTTCTCCCTCACTATCTTGGTTTCCAAGTTCTCCACACTATAGCTAGAATTATCATTCTAAAAGTTCAAATCTGATTCTGTAATTTCCTAAATTAAATCTTTGCTACTGGAAGTGAATTATTAGAGATCTGTGTGCAAGTCAAAACTCAGAACAAGAGCTATTTGACCTTCATAAGACTAGGCTCATTATTCACTCCAAAGAGCATCCACAGTTGAACAATGCTTCATCCTAGGTATTTTGTAGGCTTGCAAGAATGAGCACTATTACTCCCCAACCCTATGTCTAAATGAGCATATCCTTTTAAAAATATGTTATTACCTTCAATCATCAAATCTAGCCAGTGTATAAGCTATGTTTCTTATGTATGAGGTTTAAATAGATAAAGCATTTCTCTGAGAAAAATCTTATTAATCTTAATTCTAAATTCCCATTAAGTATCTTTGTGTTGTTTCCCCATGCATAGCTTTCAAATATGAACTTATAAATTACTTTAACCATACCTCTTTTGTAACATATGAAGACATTGAGTCCCAGAGAGATTAATGGACTTGTCCAAAGCAAAACAATGGAAGTTCCTAACTCCCCAACTATTGCGGTTTCTACTATGTATCACTATATACATAGACATATAACCAAAATTTATTAATACTTTGGGTCCTTTGCATGTGGCAAGTGTACTCAATTTTGAGTTAGAATATCCTTCTAGTCTCAATGCTTTCTATTTAATTGCAAAAAAGGAAAACATTTTCAAAATTAAAAATAGAGTACTTTATTGCATAATTATCATGAGGATAACTCTAATATTTCAACACATTGCCAATTTTTTATTTCTATATAAAATTATTTTTCTATGACAACACAACCTTTTTAGTGGTTAATCTGTTTTCAGTGATTCAGTTTGTCAGTTTTAGATATAGCTAAATTATCTCCTTTTCTGTGTCTTTTCTTTCCAGAACAATACAGTTCCAATAATGAAGGTTAATACCATTTAAGATCTAAGTTTTCTTATGCTCAATAACATAAAAAAATATATGAAAAGGAAGATAATTTAGATTTCAGAAAACTTTCTTTGACCAGATATTAGTATTATTTTTAAAAAAATATGACATACATGAGGGTAATACCAGATTGCTTTGAAAAGTAAACCTATAATATCTTTTTTAAAAATAGTTTGGACACCTCATATTAGATAGAAAAAAAAAAAGAACTGAGAAACTAGAATCTGTGCTAATTAGCAGAATACATGTTTTGCTGACTGGCTTTAATTATGCTATATCTTTATGTTTGTTTGTTTGTTTTTAATAAAGGAGGAAATATATGTAGAGCAGATGAGTTCCTTTGCAATAATTCCCTTTGCAAACTCCATTTCTGGGTGTGTGACGGAGAGGACGACTGTGGAGACAACTCTGATGAAGCCCTGGACTTGTGTGGTGAGGCATTTCATGGCTCTAGCTTGCTCTCTCATCTCCCGATCTAATGCGCCCGCATGAATCAGTGAAGTGGTGAAGGGACCCACAAATCCTGCTGCCCTGGGTTAGGTAGATAAAGTGTAACCACAGATACAGCTTTTGTTCAAGTAACAAGAGATTACCCTGTTCAAAGTTTATGACTTTATGGAGAGCCCTCTTAAATCTGAACTTTCACATGTCAACACTGTTCACAAGATAGATATGGTCTGCCTGAGAGGATTTAGAGTAGTTGACCTTTGGAATTGAGTAAGGTTCATCTAAGGACTTTGGCATCATATCAAATTGGTACTTTAGCCTAAAACAATTTTCCTTTGACAGATAAGTACATGGAAAAAAATGTGATTAATAAAATTATATAGTTCTACATGGCTCCCACTACTGAGGCTGAAGTTGTTGAGAGGCATATCTAGTATATCTATATTTATATCTATCTGGATAAATCTATATAAAGATATCTCTCTTTAGACATACGATGCACATGTTACACAGATAAGTGAAATAGGAGCTATTTAATATTTAAATCTAAAAATCTTAAATAACTTCCAGGGCCAGGAAATGGTTCTCAGTGACATGCCACACAGCTGCTGGAAAACTTGTAAAATACATCTACATTGATTCTCTGGATATTTTTTAATTCCCTCAGTCATTGGTACCAACATTGAGTCAAACTATTATGTGCTGGAGACTGTGCTAAAAAAATGGGATTTAAAAGCATGAGCACATGGTCCTTTTTACAAGGAGATATTTTGTTGGATAAATAATATTTTCCATACATTATATTTCAGGCACTGGTAGAATTAAGTAAAAGGTACAGACAAGGCAGTGAGAATAGGATGAACTCTGCTTAAAGGGAAATTCTATCTTCAGAAAGAAGGAATGGTTTCTGAAGAGTCAGGGGAAAAAAGGTTGCATAAAATGTGAAAAAATTAGTTTTTGATAGGAGTAGAGACTCATTCTCTGTTATTAAAATGTTTGAAATGAGTTGAATGAATTGATTGACTCTGTGTCGATGTGCAGTCATTTAATTAGACAATAACACATTTTCCATCCCTTTATTTCTACTTTTTTTGTGTGTGCCATCAGAAGCATATTCATATATAGAATGTGGAAGATTGGTGTTGTAGGGAAGTTTGAAAGGAATGCAAATTTGAATCATTATAGCAAAGTGAAAGAGAGCGACATGGCTAGATATATGTATAGGATTTTCAAGTAGTATTCAGGGCCCATCTGCCATTGATACATATTCATATATCTTATATCAGTTAGCCTTGTGATATGATCATCTGCAACATTCCTGAACTTCCCAGATGCAGACCATGGAATAGCAGATGGTTTACTCATCTAAGTTTGTTTTAGATAACTAAGATTAAAAAGAGGGAAAGGCCGGAAAATTCAGATTATTTGAACAAAAGTGAGTTTCTAAGTGAGTGCTTGGAACAGTGTCCAACATATAATAAGTTATCAATAAGTATTTACCCAATGAGTATATTAAGAGATGAAACATGGAAGGTAATACCATTAGAGATGAAAATAAATACAAAAGAAGGCAGTGGAAAAGAGGGAAAAGGTAGATGTATCAATGGGCTAAGGCTGAGGTTTCAGCTTTATGTTTCAGCTAAGGCTGAAAAAGTGTCTTAATGAGACTGCTTGAATTTAAAAGTTGGAAAAATAGCAGATTATGATCAGAATTTGGAGCATTCGAATTAGTGATTTTGTAAATGAAGGAATTGGAGGAAATATCAAATTCAGCTACACCATCCTATCTAATAATAGACAAACATGGTAATTGACCATACCTTTGCTATGCCTCCCATTGGCTAATCAGCACTATATGCAAATTAACCACCAACAAAGATGGTGGCTAATTTGCATACTGCAGGCAGGGCGGGACAGCGCCATCCCACCTGCCATGCCACCAACCAGGCCTGCTATCTGCGACCCGGGGCAACGGGCATCCGGACATCCCGTGTGTGACCCGACCTGGGGCGGCACCCCAACCCCCGGATCGGCCCTGCCATCTGCCACCCGGGGGCGGGCCTAAGCCAGCAGGTGGTTATCTTCCGAGGGGTCCCAGACTGTGAGAGGGCACAAGTGGGGCTGAGGGACACCCCCCTCACTCCCCTCCCCCGCCATTGCACACATTTTTGTGCACCGGGCCTCTAGTTTATAATAGTGCTCCTATCTGCAAGCAACACAAACTGTCATTGGCTGAATTTTTTTAAAGTTTGTTGAAGTCTTTCAATGTCCACAGCCTTCTTAGGGGAATGGATAGCCTAAATAGATTGAATATAAATACTTTAGTTTGAGAAACTTAAAGAACTAAGAGGTCCACTCATTGGGCGGTTTGCTCATTTGGATGTTGAAATCACCTAGGATGTGGAATTAATTTGGAAGAAAGGTAGGTACTACAGTCTTCAGTGAATTAAGGAGAGTTTGATGTTTATGAAGTTGATGAGAAAATAGCAATAAGAAAGAGGTATAATCAAATTCTTGACCCTCAAAATAGCAGTTTTTGTTTTAGTTTATTTTTAAAATAGAATGTGAAAAAATATGGTAATAAAATTCCGGAAGCTGTAGTAGGAAACTAGGATATCTTCAAACATGAAATAACATGAGGTTTGAGCAATTTAAGAGACATTCCTAAAATACCTATAGGGAGGAACTATGCTTAGAGTAACAAGCAGATTTTAGTTAAAGCGAGGAGGTCAGCAAGGAGGATAGGGCATATTTAAGGAGCTAATAAAGTAGCATTGCTACATGTCGGAGTACTTACTCCTTGATCCTGCTCGACTACACCAACTGTGAGGTGCACAGATCCTCTGCCAGGAACTGGACCTTCATGAACACCGGGTATGAGATGGAGGAGACATGAGAAGTCATCGCAGGGACATAAGAGAGACTTTATTGTAGACCAAGTAGCCATTGCTAACCAAGGAGCCATCAGGTATAACAGTTCTTCAAAGTAGCCTTACAAAGCAGCAGCCACAGCCAACAGGAGCCCTTGCTAACACAGCAGCCCAACGAAATAGCCATGCACCGGCTGGTCAGCAACACATCTATATACCAACTCAGACAAAAGAAGCTTCTTGCCAAATAGTGACATCAATATTCGGGTTATAGAAAAGTGCACCTGCACAGTGCATGCAGTAAGTTTGCTGTTTACTTGCTTTTGCACCTGCATAAGGCAACTTGGCCTTGAACCTCTGGTGTACACTGATTAAGGTTCCCACACTCAAAGATTAAGAGTGATAAGAGATAAGTCTGTAAGAGTGGCATGGATAAGGTAATGATACGTCTATTATGCCATGTAAAATACCTCAAATCTTATTCTGAAAGTGATAGATAAGTCTAGGAGAGATAATTAGATTAATGTGTTCGGTGGATTGTTATGGTGGCTTTTGGAGAATCTTGGGTTAGGCAGTAAAACTGAGACATTTAGGGTTCTACTAAAGTCCTGTCAGAGATAATAAAGAATTGCTCTATTGTGATTGTAACTGGTATGCATGGAAAGAAGAGGACAAGCTAGGGGACAATATCATCTGAACTTGTTGAGTAATCACAGTCAAAGGACAATGAGAGGAATGCATTTAGAATAATCCCAGACAAATGGCTATGATGGGCCACTAATAGAACTATGGAAATAGACAAATCTTATGTTTGGAGAGAAGGGATTTGAGGAAAGAAGAGAAGGAATTGAGTTTTGAACTTGTTGAATTTAAGATTTCCATGGGAAAGTTCTATAATTAATTGTGAAATGCTATAATTGGATATCAAGTTGCAAGTCTTCAGGGTATAGAGTCAATGAAAATGTCTAAGCAGAGAATTCAAGAGTGAGAACATGAGGGCATCAAAGAGAGAACCCTGTAATATTCTATGAGGATGAAGTAATATTCTATGAGGATGAAGAGTTATTATAAATGTTTCCTACTTCATGGGTGGAAGTCTTTTGAAGAGATAGTGATAGAAAGGGACAAAAATAGAATTCCCTGGCTTCCATTAGTATCTCTTGTTCTCTCGTTCTCTCTCTCTCTCTCTCTCTCTCTCTCTCTCTCTCTCTCACACACACACACACACACACACACACACACACTAAAATGAATAAACTGCCTATCCTGGTCAATATGGCTCAGTTGATTAAGTGTTGTCCTGTGCACAGAAGGGATGCCAGTTTGATTCCCAGTCAGGGCACATGACTGGGTTTTAGGCTTAATCCCTGTTGGGGGTGTGCAGGAGGCAGCCAATCAATGTTCCTCTCTCTCTTCCTCTCTAAAATCAATAAAAAACATATTTAAAAAATGAATAAACTAAGATCACCTTATGTGCCTCAAATACATAACTACACATTTGTTTGACATAGAGGAAGAAGCCCAGCTATAGTATTATTGAGGTTTTTTTTGTTTTGTTTTGTGTTTTTGTTTTGTTTTTTTCACTGAATGGCCTACTTTCAGTTTTGGGCCTGTAACATATGCTTGCTGAAGCTCCATGTGGTGTGAAATTGCTCTTTTAGATAGTAAGTGTCCTGCCATGTTGTATAAACCGAAGGCATAAATTAATTTGGTACACCAAGTGAAGGCAGCTAAGATAAGGCATCTGGAAATGAGACCATGAAATTTGTCTCTTTTTCTTATTTCATTCAACATTTCAGCTGTGCTCTCTTTTCTGTAGTTAATATAAATAACTAGGATCATAAGCTTCTATTATCACGCATTTTTCCTTGTATCTACTTGTAGGCAATTTCCATAACAAAAGATATTCAGAAAAGCTAGATTATGGATTTGAAAAGAAAGAAAAACCTAAAAGAAAGACGAAAGATGAATAGTTGTTCAAAAGTCAGTGTATCCAATGGAGCTGCTTTGTTTGTTTTTGTTTTGCTTTCAGTCAAATTTCTTTGCCCACCCACAAGACCTTACAGATGCAGAAATAACAGAATATGCCTGCAGTCTGAGCAGATGTGCAATGGGATTGATGACTGTGGGGACAACTCAGACGAAGATCACTGTGGTGGTAAATCCATTTAATGTGAAATAATTGATTAAGTGACAGCTATAAAATAATAAAATGATTTTAGAGCTCAAAAAATTTTTTAAAAGGTTTCATGTGTATGTCTGAGGCTAGTTTTTTAGACACTTGATTATCTGACAGAATATGAAAATAATCTGCTAACATTTTCTTTGCATAGTAGCACTGTGCAACTTAATCCAGAATCTCCACTCGTCCATAAATCTCCTTATAGGTACTTTATTAAGGAAAATACTGTGTAAGAGAAATAACATAGTGGTTTAAAAATGTTCTGTCAAAGATCTCCTTGGGTCGGAGTGGGCTTATATTGATTGAATGTATGTGCACTCAATCCCTTTTTCACAATTCTGAAATTAAAAACTCTTAAATCAAACGTTATACTGAAGTATGTGTCAAAACTGGTGACAAATACTGACTTGATCTGGTCTGTGGTAGTTTATAGTGCTTAAAAAAAATCCCACTCAGGATTATATTCACACATTTTCCTGTGGAAATATGGTGGTATTTACTATAAGGTAAATACACTGCTATATTATAAAAATCAACAACATTTCAGAAATTTTAAATTTGGCCCCAAGAGCTTCAAATAAAAGATTGTGGACCCATGTGTTTTTATAGTATTTAGTAAAATCTTGGACTTGCTATATTCTCAATAAATTTGTTTTGATTTGATGAAATTCCAATTATTTTTAATGACCTTGTAGGTAAGCTTACGTATAAAGCAAGACCTTGTAAAAAAGACGAGTTTGCTTGCAGCAATAAAAAGTGCATACCCATGGACCTCCAGTGTGATCAGCTGGATGACTGTGGAGATGGTTCGGATGAACAAGGCTGCAGAATGTGTGAGTTTGTTTTCTTTTCAAGTGCCGTGGCACACAAGTTTAATTCTTGCTTTCTTATGAGCAAATTTATTTTACTATTCTGAGAAAAATATTTCTGTTCAAAATGTGCTTAAGTAATACCATTTGTTAAGCTTTAACCAAAGCAAATATGGACATCACTTAAGGTAATATCTGAAATTGTGAGGTGGGAAAGGCTGATTTTGCTATGAGTGACTTTATTGGAACTGTAGCTGAGAACTCAATATTCAAATACAAATTTGACGTTCAGCAAAGAAATCTATATCACTTAATATTTTAGTTTATAAAATATAATGTTAATACTTTTTTGAATTTTATAAGCATTGATATTTCTTTACTGATGATAAAGGTCTTAATAATTTTTCAATGTTTTAAAATTTTAACCTATTGCCAAATTATTCTTAGAGAAACTATCATTATTTTATTCAATTAGAGCGCTATGATAATTGAGCTATTAGACCTTGACTATTAAGCATTTTGTATTTAGATAATGTTTGATATTTGATTTTTTATATTAAGAAAGTGGTTGAATTTAAGACCATAAATTAAGGTTAGTTATAAAAGCCACGATATACTTTCTAATTTTGAGTCTTTTATTATTTTCTTATTTATGCATCTAAGTTGTTCCTCACTGGCTGATGAAGCAACGCACATCAGGATACGGCTACATAGCTCATCCATAGTATAATTCCACTTGTGTAATTTAATTAATTGTAAACTATTCAAGAGTTAGTGGGGATTAATAATGCTTACAATTTTGATAATGAGAGTTCTCATATTTCTCAATAATTTGAGTTGTTTAGGCAAAATAGGGATAATTTAATATTATCCCTATAATATTTTGTCTTTATTTAATTGCATTCTAAAATGTTTTCCTGGATGGGAGATGAAGCAGTGAAATGATAACAAGTATGTTTGGAATTACATATAACTCAAAGTCCTTCCTAACCTGTATTGCAGCCCAAGACCATTGGAACATGTTATACACTCAATCCTCATATGTGTCCCTGTAAAAGTTTAAGAACTGCTGGTTGTGCCTACCTGCTCGAGTAACATGTATATATGATTATGTCCCTGAACACTGAGTTTAGCTTAAACAGAAATGGCTACAACTCTAGGTAGTTTCTAGGAGATGTTTTGGTCATTAGAGAAGGATGCAGAACTCGTGCATCATAATATAGTAAAGAGAGCTTGTCATTAGAATCATTTATTCTTTTTGAAATTTTATTTTTATTGTTGAAGGTATTACAGATGTGCCCTTTATTCCCCATTGACACCTTCTAGCCCACACCTGCCCCCACCCAGGTGTTCACCACACTATTGTCTGTGTCCATAGGTTATGCATATAATTTTTTTGGTTAATTTCTTCCCACCCACCCAACCCCAAGACATAGAAGCATGGAACAGACTGTCTAATCTAAAAGAATCATTGATTATTGACTTCCTTTTGGAAAGTAGTTTAACTTGGTAACAGCTGCAGGCAGTTTGGTCTAAACTACTTCAGTGTAAATGAGTTCAGTTTTTATCCTCTTCTTTACCTTTAATAGAGAAGAGGGCTCATATGGAGAGACCATAATTTTATTAATTCAAAAAAGAGTCATCTAGGGTAAAATACATATAATTTTAAATTAAGAACAAAAGTAAACTCCTACTTCAGGAATTACAGCTATATTAGTTTTGATCATATTTTTTAATCCCAGCTCCCAATGAATATACCTGTGAAGATAATGTGAATCCATGTGGAGATGATGCATATTGTAATCAAATAAAAACATCTGTTTTCTGTCGCTGTAAGCCTGGATTTCAGAGAAACATGAAAAACAGACAGTGTGAAGGTATAGTACATTCCCTCAACAGCTTGCTCTTAAATCTTTAGGTTATAAAAGACTCCCAAAGCTGCTAAATTGGAAGATGACAGGGGGATTGATTTTCATCAAAATGGTGTGTATCTGCGGGTTACCAGTTTACTTATGAGAATGAAAGTCCCTGGGGTCAAGAGCCTGTTTGTTTTTACTGCTAAGCTAATCATCTCGGAGGCTACAGAGCCTTGTCTGTAGCTGATTCAGACCTCCAGGAATTTCATGGTGGTGTTACAATTCTGTTTTGAAATGCAAGTAATGGAATTGCTGGTTCAGGAACCATTGCAGAATTAGAGGCATTTCATGAAAGAGCATGTTTATGATAACCCATTTCTTTTCCGTTGTGGCACTTTCAGTAATGCAATAGGCAATTCACTTCTAGAGAAGTGTGGGCTTTTGTCCTAACACCATGTACTTTGTATTGCCAAGAGGTGTCTTTTAAAATTCAAAGACGGGATTTAAATAAATCTCTGTCAGCTTACTTGAAATCATTTAAAAACTGAGCATGTAGGCTAGGCAGAATCTCATAGTAAGTTATATGTAAATATAATTTAAATCAGGCTTTAACTATAGAGTCATGAAATACCATATGCACTTTCTGCAAGTTTCTTTATTAAAATTTGTATTATTATGATTAGAACCATACCTAAATCATCTGTCTGGCTTATCCAGGATAAATTCAAATCTTAAAATGCTTTCACCTACCAGCTTCCTTTACTACTGTCTATGTTATTCTTGGGTTAAAAAGGGGGAGGGGAGAGTTAAATAACGTCAATCAAAACGGAATTATGGAAATAAATTAATGAAACTCAGTCCATAGGGAAACAAGTGTAACCATGTCACATTTATGTAAATTTTGAGTTATATACTTGTTTGGATTTTTCATGACATGTTATTTTTCCATTAACATGGAACACTGAAAACTGGCAACTTCTTCCTTTTTTTTAAAAAAGAAAGCAAATTATTTCTCATGGCTAGAATATTTCTTGCTTTTTAGAAACCCCACTACACATATACTACATACATTACAAGCACAAAATCTCTTCAAGATTTTAATATCAAGTAACATTAATTAGTTCACATTTATTTGGGCTATGTTTCTTGTATATACTTACAAATTTAGAAATCCTATTCTGAAAATTTTCATTTTTAGTTATATTTCATGGCAAATATAACCTGCAAGTTCCAGTCTGGTTTAAATTGCTATGGATCCACTCAAACTTTTGTTGTGCAAATGAACATTTTAATTCTAATAAAATTTGCATCTTTATTTGATAAATGAGGATTTAACATAAGGAAAAGCAGTTTTGACTTGGTGTGAAGGAGGCGATAGACATTACCTTGATTTGTAATCAAATTAATTTAAATTTGTGCTCTTTCTTTATGTGGCTCCAAAAAAATAGCTTAAGAAATGGTTATATGATGTCAAAGCCAACACTCTTCAATTGGAATATCTAAAGGAAGGGTGGGGAACCTGTTTCCTGAGAAGGGCCATTTGGATATTTTATAACATCATTTGAGGGGCATACAAAATTATCAACTTAAAAATCATCCCTGTATATTTGGTCAAACATTTAATTCGTTTACCCCCAATGCCTCAGCAGGGCCAGACCAAATGATTTCAAGGGCCTTATATGAGATCCATGTGCCAGACATTCCCCACCCCTGGTCAAAGAAATAACAAGGATAGCAGAATAGCAGTAGAAATGGAATGACAATGGCTGTGTGCAAGGCACTATTCTAGATATCGGCCATATGTGGGATTCCTCTGTCCATCTGCTTCCAAAGCTCATAAAACAGGCATCTTTGTAGAGATAAAGAAAAATGCTAATCCTGGCCACCACAGGGCCATGTGAGGGAACTGAGGCTTTCTTAAATCAAGCACATTTTTGCATATTTTGATTTCCTGTAAAAGGGAAACCATAGTATCAAGTAACTTACTGTTTAAAATCACAGGTACCAAACAAATAAAAAATATTTATAGTAACAAGTCTTCAGTGATTAAATGCTGATAATATCTATTTTCCTTATCTCATTTCTCTACTTTTCAAACATAGAATGAGCTGTCATGAGAGTGCTTAAGTTCTCCTCAAGGTATCATAATAGATACAACAGAATCAGAAAGCCCGGGTGTAAGCCTGGGCACAGTCATTTACAAGTGCCACTACCATACCCTTTGGAACATTGTTTAGTGCTAACCAAATGATAAATATTACTGTGATTATCCTTAAGTTCTCTAATTCAAGGGGAGGACTTGTATCACAGATTTATTACATAATTAGGACAACTACACGTGATAAAAGGAGCCTAGGAATTAGTCTGATTGAAAGCAAAAAAAGAGGAAGAAAAGGAGAAAGTAGATAATTCACCATAATCAGCTGATGTCAATCCTGGCCTTGCGTAAGCCATTACAATCAAAGGCAGGTGCTAAACCACAGAATATTGCCTGTGATCTATTGATTTATTACTTATGATATTTATGTATTTATTTATTTATTTATTTACATACGCACCCAGCTTTTGTTTGTTTGTTTCACATAGCCCTTCTTGTTACATAGACACTGCATATATATGAAACCAGCGGTATATTAGAGATATATCCATATCTTCATTCTCTTCCAGGCATTATGCAAAATGTTGGCAATATAAAATGAATAAATCATAAATTATGCCCTGAAGAACTTACAGTCAAGTAGGAGATATGAATATATAAGAACATACCTGCAATATAGTGTGAACAATACTGTAAGAGAAAAACATTAAAACAGCAGAGCACAGAAAGTTTGGGATGGATAGTCACTATTTTATGTTGATGGAGATGAAGGAAGGCTTCGCATTAGGTAGATCTTGAGAAATGAGTAGAAATTATGTGCATTAAAGTGGGAAAGGACATTATGGGACAAAGGAACAAGTATATGATATGTGCAAAGATATAGTTAGGTAATTAGAAACAGGCTTAAAAGGAAACCTTGAGATCTGTTCATTTGAGTAAATGCAAACACTAGGGGAGTTTAAAATGGATATTTCAATGTTTTAAGTGGACTAACAAGCAATGTACAAACAACTTATAAATTATTATAGTGAAACTATTGTTAAAAATTATCATTGCCTAAAAAATTACAAAAGTCACAGATAAGGCTTTGAAAGAACAATAACAACAAAATAGAAATAAGTTAAAAAAAATGTCATTTAGAAATGTAGAAAGAATGGAAGTGCTAATTGGGGTATGATGATGCTATTTTGAGTTCTTCTTTACAGATGTTAATGAATGTTTGGTCTTTGGCACATGTTCCCACAAATGTATAAATATGGAAGGATCGTATAAATGTGTGTGCGACCAGAATTTTCAAGAAAGAAACAGCACCTGCATAGCAAGAGGTAAGGTTATAGCCATTATTTCAAAGCTCGTATAATTTTGCTATATATATCTTATGGTGAAAAAAAGGTTCATGTTGTATTTTAACAATAGTTTCATGCCTGATAATATTAAATGTCTATATTTAATAATGATTAATTTGGCCAGTTGGTTTATTATTTTTACTTAATTTAATTTTGGATGGTTTGTAGACATGACAAACAGTTAACTGTTAAAGTCATTTTTGTGCTTGAATCATTTTGTCAGTAAGTGTAAAAGTATAAAAGCAAATGTGATAGAATAGGAAAGTATTTTCTTTATGGTGTACTCTCTGTGTATTTAGAAATTAATACACCATTGGGATAAAAATAACAGTTTAGCTGGTTTGGCTCAGTCAGTGGATAGAGTGTTGGCCTGCAGACTGAAGGGTTCCAGGTTTGATTCCGGTCAAGGTCACATGCTGGGGTTTCAGGCTCGATCTCCAGTAGGGGGCATGCAGGAGGTGGCCGATCAATGATTTTCTCTCATCATTGATATTTCTATCTCTCTCTTCCTCTCCCTTCCTCTGTGAAATCAATAAAAATGTATTTTAAAAAAATAGGTTAAAGGTTAGCAGTATAAGGAGAATGGAATTTTGAGTAAGAATTTAAAAGGTTTTCAAGTAAAACTGTGCTTTCAAGTTCAGATTGCCTCCACTTAATAATATCATTTAAAAAAATCTTCGTTGTTGAAAATATTACATGTGTTACCTTTTTCCCAAATGGGGGAATAATATCATTTTAATTAATGAAATGACAGTTATGAATCTGGTGCTCTTTTAGGTATGGATTTTAATGCTCATATGTTTTGAGTAAATAATACTATAACTTAAATATTGGTAGCTGCAGGGTATGATTGCACAATGTTAATATGATAGTTATTGTAAGAGGAAGACAATGTGATGTAGTGGATCAAGGATGAGCTATGAGTTACATGTACTTTGCCTGGGGAAGTTATTTAACTCTGAGCCTCAGTTCCTCGCCTGTAAAATGGGAATACTAATACCTATACCTACTTCCCATGACTGTTGTAAGAAGAGGAGAAAAATTGTGAAAGGCTTAACGCAGGGTCTGCCACATAGTATCCTTTCACTAAGCGAGGGCTCCTAAACTTAGAGAGCTGAACTATGCCTTGTGAATAATGATTTTTGTAAATTTACAGATATTAAGTATGCCATTCAATCTTACTTTATGGTTTCATTGATATTTTAATTAATAATTTCAGGAATTACTTTAGGGTTTTACTTGTCTCAGGATAAACATAACATTAGTACAGTAGTGTAGGTGTAGAAACTTCGGGCTAGAAAGTTCCGCTTAGCATGATTCTAGGTAATATTGAGATGATGACACTTTAATATAGTAAATACTGATATCTTTGTATAATAAACATAAAAGAATATTTAGGATACATGAATATTGGAAGAAGAAGGCTCTTCATATCTTAATCATCATTTCTTAGCCTAAGTTAATGATCACTCAGGTGCATAAACTAAATGCTCAGAAATGTTTAAAGCTTAATGAGTACACAATATAACATCTGGATATTTAAAAAGCATTAGAAAATAATGTATCATGACTTGCCCAAAGAAATCCCTCTTTATACAAAGGATAACTACTAAAAATGCCTAATCTGTACTCAGAAGGTAAGTTTTTGCCCCTAGAAAAACCTACATTAATTACTCTTAAACATAAGTGGTGAAGATTAAAAAAACAGTATAGACTTGATTTTTATTGAATAAGAAACTGTTTTAAGAATAACAATTCAAGATAACTTAATAGTATAAGCATTGCTTTTACATTAGTTGAAATTTACTTTATTTTTGTATTTTATTATAATAATCTCCAGGCTCTGAAGATGAAGTTCTCTACATTGCTAATGACACTGATATCCTGGGTTTTATATATCCATTCAACTACAGTGGCGATCATCAACAAATTTCTCATGTTGAACATAATTCAAGGATAACAGGGATGGATGTATATTATCAAAGAGATATGATTATTTGGAGTACTCAGTTTAATCCAGGCGGGATTTTCTACAAAAGGATCCATGACAGAGAAAAAAGGCAAGCAAACAGTGGCTTGATTGTAAGTAAATAACATTGAATATTTGAAGGTTCACACCTTCCACCTCCGTGTTTTATTTTAATCTATTAATGATGGTGTCTGACTATAGGAGGTAACACATTCAATGATTCCTCCCAATATTTTCTCTATATAGAAATAAAACATATCTCTATTCATTTTTTCTCATAGCTGCATATAAATTTATTTTAATTGAATGCTATCATACCTTTGTTTTAATGAATTTGACAGTTATATAAGAATGATAACAAATAATAAACAATCCTACAATATTTAATATTTTATAGTGTTTAAAAATGTATTATGAACATGAGGGTTTTTTTTTTTAATCATGAGATAAGATTGCACCATTACTTCATTTTTGTTAGAGAATAAAATGTCAAAATATACAGGTATAATTATTTCATTTTTAACACTATGAGAAATATACTTGTATTCTAGGGCAAGAGAACAACTCCATAGTGTAAGCATTTTTTCTGACTTTTGATAACTATATTTCAGGAAACCTCCAAAACAGAGCAATATTGCTTGCTAGTATATGATGGACACATTGATTATCATGGTTATTCCTTCTGAGGAAAATAAACTAGAACATTTTTTTTAGATTTGTGGTTGTAGACTACCCTCTTTTTGTTTTAGGGCATGTCAATTTGTTTTAGGGCATGTCCATTTATTTTTTGAAGTAACCTTAGAGGAAAAAAATGACAGATAAATCATTTTTATTGGGCCTGGCCCATTGTCATACAACCAAAAAAGTCAAGTGCTATCACATTAGGATGTAATTTAAGCTTTGTATTTCAAAAGAATCAGAGGTACCTATCTGGAAGTCCTCACTACATTTCCCAGTGGTATCTACCACAAAGATTTGAACTACATGAATACCATTTGAAAGAATTCTGGGACATATTTTTTTTAATATATTTTATTGATTTTTTTACAGAGAGGAAGTGAGAGGGATAGAGAGTTAGAAACATCGATGAGAGAGAAACATCGATCAGCTGCCTCCTGCACACCCCCTACTGGGGATGTACCCGCAACCAAGGTACATGCCCTTGACTGGAATTGAACCTGGGACCCTTCAGTCCGCAGGCCAAGGCTCTAGCCACTGAGCCAAACCGGTTAGGGTTGGGACATCTTTTTTATCAATTGTAGATAGCAATAAGCTGGTTTTAAAAGAAGCAATATTATCTGTCGAACTCAGGTGAGATTAACTGTAAGTAAAAGTTCGTATTTATCAGAGTTGTTGCTTCAGTTCTTCCTGTCCCAAACAGAATCTTATCGCTTTAGTCCTATTAAGAACAGCTCTAGGAGAGAACCAAGAAATTTAGTAGATAACTCTGCCTTCCCCATCCCTCACATATAATCTACTTCCTCTTTAACAGACCAAAGGCAGACTAAGAGTCTTGGCTAGCTTTAGCTTTTCTTTATCTCTAAAACAGAAGTCTGCTTTGCAAAAACATTGTTCCTACGGTACCATTTCATCTGTTATTAATGAAGTGATAAAGAACATATCACTTCATTACAATGCTTGGGTTTTAATTTTGTTTCAATTGCTGACTAGTCTCTTAGCTTCTCTATATTCTATTGCATAAAGTTTATTGAGGGATATGTATGTTAATTATTGTTAACAGTTTTGGGCACATAGTAAGAACTGTCTATATACTTGCTATTAAAAGGATGATGATGATGATGATAATGATGGTGATAATGGTGATGTTTTTGATGATAATTGGCAAGGAAGGTGTTCTCTATGACACATTATCATATTAAAATTATTCACAACTTACTCTTGTCTGAATTTCATAGCTGCTAAAATACATCTATAATTAATTTCAATATGAATTTTTAGTGAAAATGATTTGATAATTGTTTTAGTTTTGTGCTTGGAGAGATTGATGATCAGTGTCCTCTAGTGAACAGAGTTTATTGTAGATCATGAGGCCAAATTTATTTAATGTTTGGCAACTAAGTTTTTATTTTTATACATACAAACTATAAATGTGTATATTTTATTGGTATATTGTATATTTATTTACATCCATATATTTTAAATATTTTAATCTTTATTTTTTAATGTGCTATAGAATATTTTATAGCCAGTGGCAAAGCTACAGTTTAGCTTTTGTCCAGTAGGATATGAAACTTAATTTAGTCTTTTAATGATAGTAATTATTTGTGTTATATCATCTAGAGTTTCTGTTTGTTTGTTTTTCCTCTCTTCATATACCTATGCATGACTAACAGTATTAACTAGGAAGAAAATTGGATAACAGTAGAGTACATTTTCTAAGGGTCTTTATGAGTGAACTAAATGTCATGCTTATAAGGTTTCAACCTCTGAGCCATGAGTTTTAGCACCATGTTCAAAGCCATTAAGCATTCCATATAAATTTCAACCTATGCATTCTTTTTAAAACAGTACTTAAGGCTACAGTAATGAAGGAAATTATTTAACTTTGCTTCCTAAATCTTTTTTTGTAATTATCTCTATATTGTAAGTATGGAATAAAGCCACCTTAATTTAATGAGCAATGTGTATTCTAGAGTAATTAAATGACTTACCTATATGCAGCTATAATGTGACCAAATTTAAACTTTAACTTAAAAGACTTGTTACATCTTTGAGTCTCAGCTTACTCATTTGATAAGTAACTATAGCATTGGAGTAGACCATTTCTAAAATCCCTCCTAGAAAGTAAATATATATGATTTCCAAAAGATGTGACATAGTTATGTCTATCAAGTTATTACCTGGACGATTTGTATTTATTCCTCTAAAATCTATCTTGTGTATAGATAATTGATTTTCTACCCTTACACAGTACTCTGCCATGTATTGTATTTGCTCTTTTATGGACACCATCTAGTCATCTATTAGTTTAATGAGCATGTGATCTGTTTCATCGAAGTGTTGATACAAATATTAAATGATACTTACGTGGGAATTACTCACTCCTTGGAAAATAAAACTAAAGACTTTTTTTCTAAGCTGAATATGGAACATTGATTTCTTTTTCTGAATCAATAGGTTAAAGAAAAAAATAAAATTATGCATACATTACTTATAACCAATTTTCAATTAACCAAATGGGAGGAGTTAGACATGTGATAGCCAAATGTCTTGAAAGCATATTCATAGACATTGAAAATTTTGGAATATTTCCTTCCATGTAAAGAGTAGGAAATATGTTATATCAGATACCAGAGGAAGACTACTCAGACAACTAAATGTTTACTGAAGTCCATTCCAAAGAAAGGTAACATTTAATATGATGTGGGGTTTTGGAAGTCATGAAGGGAATATTCTTCTGTAGTCTCTGAAAATGGTTGCAATACTAATTATAATTACAAATTTAAATTTCGAATGCAGACTAAGTTATTTATACATAGAAATGCTTATGATTTTATAACCCCCAGGGCTATACAAAATGAATGATTTCTTTTCTTTAAGAAAATTAAATAATTCAAAACTTAAAAGACTAACATGATTCAATCTATATGTAAAGTATAATGAGATTTCTGAATTTGAATTTTAGTAGTTGGAACAGAATATGATAACATTATGCTACAATTGAACATACTTTATGGCAATTTATCATTTCTAGTATGAAATGCTGTGCAGCAAAGTACATGATGACAAGCACTATAAAGTAGGTCAATGCTTGTAAAAATGCAAATGACGAAAAATATAGATTAGATTCTTACCATTAAAGAACTAAATATTCCTGAGCAAAACAAATGGTTCATCTGATATACCTGATTTGTGAAGTGAATATGAGATACTATATTTGGCATACTCTCTATTGTGCAAAAGAGAATGTTCAGAATGCACATGCTTATAATTTTATCCATTAATAATCATATTTTTTCAAAAAGTTTATTTGAACTTTTTTTCCCCCTGAAAATCTTTTCACAAAATATCCTGTTAGCTTTACTAGGTTTCAATTTTTAATTGGAGTCCTAGCTAGAACCTCAATATATGCACAAACACATGCACACACACATGTACACTTGAGTGAATAGATGTACATATGTACCCACACTTAAGAATGTGTGTATGTGTGTATGTAGCAAAATCTTCAAAGTATTATTTTAGGACATTTAGATAAAGTGAAAATTGATAGTTTCTTTTTTATTTTTTCTTTATTATTATAAATTCATCGTAACCATTATAATTCTAATTGAAACTGTCTATACTTGCATAGCAAGAATACTTTTAAAACCATCTGAGTTTATTCAAACTAGTCCACAACTACAATAATTTATTATGATTATTCTGGAAGAAATCTAAAACTATCAGATCATTACATTATTGCCATTTTCTGTTGTTGATTGCATAAGACAGACATTGAACAATAGGTACTCATTAAAGTTAAATTATTCTGTAACAGTTATATCAATATTCAAAATTGTACTGAACATAAATTTTATATGGCTATATAAAACATATGATTATATAATTAATAATCCTGAAGAAACTATTGATTAGACTATATAGTATTTTAAGGAGAACCAGGCAAGTTTTATTCATTTCCAAAGCTTTATTTAAAGGTTTCTATTTATTAGGTTTGGTGCTGGGTTCTCAGGATACAATAACTATAACAAGAGTCTTGTTATTGTGAAGGTTAGATTCTGGGGAACAAAGACAGAGTCAAGTAAATGTATAAGTAAATAAATACAACAAAATTCTCATTTAAAAAAGTATATTGAAGTAAATAAATAACGAACTAAGAAAGAAGCACTCAGATGTTGTAAGTATTCTTTGTATGGGATGTTCAGTAAAGACTCATGGGAAGAGAGGAGATTTGAGCTAGACCTAAGAGGAAGTAATGTCATTTTATTATATCTAAGACAACTAACTAGCTTTTTTATGTAGAGAATGGATTAGGTGTAGGGAAAGCTCAAATAGATACAGACCACTTAGGAGGATTGTGTCTCAAGTTAGAAATATTGGTAAGTTACACTATTATAGTCTCAATGGAATGGAAGGTAGTGAGTAGAAA